CTTTGTGCGTTTGCATCTCAATGTGCAAGTGTGTGTGTGTGTGTGCATGCGATATGCGAGAGAGTGTGTCACAGAGACAGAGAGGCCTGTCTGCCGGTCATTGGCCCCATGCCTATCAGTTTGCAGTGATCAGTCTTGCCTGGCTGTCGTCTGTCCGCTGCCAGCTGTCAAAGGGCTTGCTCTGGGCATGCCCACTGATGAGAGGCTGCAGCCATGCTCTAGAATCAATCCAGCACTCTAATAGGTCACGAATGGCTGCACAGTGCTTGCCAATAGCTTTGGACTGGAGAATGAGTAGAGGAGGGAGTGGAAAGAGGTAGAGGAAAGAGAGAGATACACAGGCAACGATAGATACGTCACCCATATATTTTTCTTTTCTCATCATCAACAACAAGCTTTACTGGCCATTGCTGAAAAGAAAGGGCAGTAATTGACATGCCACTAATTTGCCTCAGTCAGTGAAGGCGTCTGACTCTACTACAGTGATGGCCAAGTTTCAGCGAAACCAGAACACACTAACATAAATCTCTCTTCCTCTGTTTCTCTCTCCAACTCATTAGAGTTACCCACTTTTAGACCTAATTACAAGTAAATGTGTACACACTTAATGAAATTCCCTAAGTGGAAGAGCAGAACAGAAGGAGAAGGAGATTCATGGAGGAGTGTAGATTTTGTTTTTAGATGCCAAGCAGTTGGTGCTCAGCAAATGTTTCAGTTTGCAAAGCATCTTCTGGGCCACTGGTGCACACAGAAAAATATTTGATACAAATGGTCTCTAATTAAACAAATTCAGACTGCATGCCGTACTGTTAAGTCCTCTACTGTAAGGGAACAGGAAAAATGTAGATAGGCAAAAACGAATTAATTCTATCCTCCCAACGTTGTTTGCCTTTGAGGCACAGAGGAATAAACAGTATGTTTTACTTCTTTGAAGTTATTACTCCACAGCTCAAACATATCTAATTGGAAACTTGAAAAGAAAAAAAAAAAAAAAAAGAAAAAATAGATCAATTTACATCAAGGGACTTAAAATGAGTTTTCTTCCTCTTTTTTGATCAGCTGTCATTCAAAGTGCCATAAGAAATTAATTCCTTTTTATATTACTAAATATATGTGGTAACATTTAGACCTGAATTTGTTCATAGCTGTGTTGTAGTTGTGTGTGTTTTTGTAGCTGATTTCCACATGATGTTTTCAAATGTTTAAGCAAAGTTACAACCCGGTCTATTCTGATCTGTTGTGTAATGAAAAGGGCAAAGATACAAAACCATGCCAGCTTGCAAAAAAGTGATTATTTGGATATGCCAGTTTATAGAATTACAACAATGAACAGTGCCAAATATGTGTTTTTCAAGTCATCATCATCTGCTAACACCAGGAAGATTACCAGGCACCTGTTTGTTTATTGTCAGAGTTCAGACTAAAAGAAGTTTTGTGTTACAGACCCTTGACAGACCACATTGCTGTGGGTGTGTCGTAACAGGCAACAGTGAGAAAATAAAATAAGAGCCAGGAAGTCCAGTTTTAGGGCCTTTTGGATACTAAGACATTGCACAAAAATAGTAGTAGCAGTAGAGTTGGCTTGATACTACACTGTTCACATTACAATGTAATCTACCTGTGATGTGCATGTGTGTGTATTGGTTAGTGGGGTGTGTTTTCCGATGACAGCGAATTGCTTGTGGAATTTGTTTCTGAGCTGCTGAGGAAAAATACATTCTTACCTTGCCGCTCTTTGCAAGTGAGCAGATGGTGGACATTGTTTATGTGTGCAAGAGTTTGCTAACCTTAGGGTTTTTCACATCTCACACAGGAGGCAGCGCAGTAGGCATATAGCCAACGGTAGGATGGTCAGACCTTTGCAGACAACCACAATGTTCGCTTACAGCAACTCTGGAACTGAGACATCTCAGTGCTGGAACTTGCTCTTTTACATCGCAGTGGGTGTGGCCTGGCTGCAGAGGGACAGAACTCAGCCTCAGCAGAGAATGATCATATTGTGTCATCCCCACTGCCAGGCAGCAGAGATTGGCCATTATCCTCTGTACAGGCAAGTGGTGTATTTTAGAGAGGGGCACAGGGCAGAGTCAGACAAGCTTGGTCACATTCTGCCTCGCTGCTGTCTGAGCAAAGCTCCATCTGAGGAGAATGCTGGAAAATAGGCCTATCACTGCCAACAACCACACTCCTACTGTTAGTGGACGCAGGCAGCCACATGCATAGTGCCAAGGCACGCAGTGCACCACTGGTGTTGGTCTGCCATGCCAATCAGTGCAGGGCACAAAAGGGGGGAATCTATCTGTGTCAAGAGACAAAGTAATCCTTGACTGCTGAATGGTCTCTCTGGAGTTCAGTGTTATGTCTAGTGCTGAAGGAAAGTGTATGAGTCAGAACAGCCATTTCTTGCCTCTGAGGACTGTGGGCAGACATTGATTGGCTGAACAAGACTGTACAAATTTCAATCAATGGTTTCTGTGGTCAGGTGTGATCTTAAGTTGATTATAGAGTCCTGTTAATGGGGTTCATCTGTTCAACTTTCAGTAAGTGATATTGTCTAAACAATACCACAAGGTTATTGCAGCTGATTCAGTAAAATGGGACTACACATAGTCTTTTTTGTTTGTTTGTTTAGGATTCCTGATGAGCTAAACATAATCTGTGAAACAGTGTACTGTCTGTGCAATAAGAAAAATAAATAACTGTCTGACTCACGAAGTAAAGGCATGGCTTTTGAAAGATGTAGGTGGTCTAACTAAAAGGAGGCTGTAATGATGTTATCAGATGACAATACAGAACTGTCTGTAATACAGTCACAGTCTCAGTATATTCTATGTGAAAATCCCCATGTACTCGTTCCATTAATAACACCAACTGTGTAGTGAATCAAGAGGTCTGAATTGTTTAAGTTGCTCCTGAACTGTTTGCTCTGGACACCCCCAGAGCAGTTGGTTTCCAATACCACGGACATTGCCTTAACCAACAGTCTGAGAAGGAATTATTTCCGGAAGCTCCAAGCTTGCAGGAGGAGAGTGAGATTAGAAGTCCTCTCCCAGCCAGCAGAAATACAATAGGCTGAACCACCTGCTGGCCTGAGGAGCTTTTCATCGGCTGGTGTTGCAATCTTCCTTTCTTGAGGTTGTAAGGCCACAGACATACTAAATGTTATTGTTTCGCTCCTTTTTTGTCATCCGCCTTTTGTTCTGAATGTTTCAAAGAGACCATTAATCACAGCCACAGTTGCACACAACACAACGTAGTAGGTATCCTTTCCTTTTTTATTCTTTGACTCATTTCATTTTTCAGTTTCTCTCTTTTTGTCTCGCTCCCTCCTCTTCAGACCCATCCCTTTACCCCCTCTCTCGCTCTGCTCTGTCAGCCCTGTCTTTCTGTCTAACCTCTGTGCATGTTTCACAACAGCCAAGGACCGTGTCTGCTACCCCCTCCTACTCTCCAATGTTTGTCTGAAGCATTAGTGGGGTGTTGCCTCATTGGATAGAATTAATTGATTAATACTTTTATCCAATTAGTGTTCCCTCATGCAATTAATCAGCTGGCTGAGGTTAGGGCCGCTCCATCAGTCGGACGAAAGGCAGACAGATGCTTTGGGTCTGGTGTGTGATGAACAATGACCTCTCTCTTTTGCTTTCCCTTTCTCTCTCTATCTTTCCTATTTTCCACACACCTGGTTTCCTGTCCTGTTTTCACCATTCTGCCAGCGCTCCAGCTCATAGCACGTTGCTAAGATTCTTGCTGAACACAGGAATCGCTGGTGGAAAACAGTGTCCCCCAGATAATCCTAACAAGACCAACACATGAGGGCAACATGAAGGCGGTGTTAGAAGATTTATTAGTTATGGGTACATGAATAGTTTGGAACACATTCAGCAGTATTTGTATTATAGGGAACAAATAAAAAGTGACAACATCAAAATTTTGGCATAGAGGTGCTAAAATAAAGTTGATGTTGAAACACTACCATGACTAATTTTACTGTTCACACAACCCTTAAAAGCACTGAGTAGAAAACATTTTCAGATCCAGCCCAAATCACAGACAAGATAACAGCGTCCTTCTTTTCTGTCTTACAGGTTCATCCTTTCCCTGCCTTTGAATCACTGATGGGGCTGTCGTAATGATGAAGAAAATGCAGTAGGACCTTTGAAGAATGAACTTTCCAAACCAATGGATTGTTCTGAAGGGCAAAGCCATCCAAGATCAAACATAATCGCTGACGGTAAAATCAGTTGGCCTTTTCTCAGTTCAAGGTTTCTGCTTCAGGAGGTAAAACCACTTGTGACTTTTCAAGGAACTGGACTCCAGAAGAGTTTTCTCTTCAAAAAAAGTTTAATCAAGCCTTTTTGGACAGCTTAGTATTAAACCACCTGTAACGCACACCAACCATTGGAGGTGACATGGCTGGACGTGAAATTGGAAGCACTGCAAGAAGTACAATGTCAAGAAAGGATGGAATCCATCGCTCTCACTCCTCATAGGAATGCTGCTCAATGCCCCTGTATCCTTGTTTCACCCTAATTTCCCCACTGAGCAGTGAACCAATCTAGTAAAATCTGTTGTTTTTGTTGCCTTCAAAAACCTTCAAAGACATTTTCTATCATCAGTTTGTTTCACCGCTTTCACTCGTACTTTGACAACAAAAATCCGCAAGTCTATAAGGTGGCGGAAATGGTATGAAGAATCAGAATGACTGACCATGTTGCAATACAAGCAGGTACTCTTCAGGTGGTACAAATCCAATGTGCTCCATGACTTGCCTTGTATTCAGCAGATAACTTCAGATTGATTTCTGATCCCATGGATTAACTTTCAAGTTCTTTCACAAAGACCTTTTAAGTTTGCCCTGCTGGAGTTGTATTTGGTATAAAACTACAACTGAAAATCTCTTCCTGTCTGCATGTAGCTTTTATAATACATGTAGACGTGGGCAGCATTTCCTTCTTTTTTTCTTTTTTTTTTTCCCTCATCTTATTTTTCTTATCAAAATGGCTCCTTTTTGGACAGCAGGAGCTTGGACACTAGTGGCAGCACTGGGTCTTCTTAGCTGCTGTAGCTTGACGTGGTGTGACGCCTCAAGGACTAGTGGTACAACCTCAGGAGAGAAAAAACAAGAACAAGGACCCTCATCACTGGAACGAGTTAAGAGAGGATGGGTGTGGAACCAGTTCTTTGTGGTGGAGGAGTATACGGGCACAGAGCCACTATATGTAGGAAAGGTAAGACATTACTATAAGAACTTTCTGAATACATTTTAATTCCTCGAATGTAAAAAAAAAAGAAAAAAAAGCATTAAAGTAAGACGGCCTGGGGATATAGTTAATATTCAGTTAAGTTAAATACAAGACTGTTGCTATGTACAATATTCAAAGGGACTTTGTAGAACAAATTTCCACGTTGTAGTAAAATTAGTACAAGTGTATGCATGCTGATGTCTGGATGAATACATTGTTGGTAAGAGGTTTCCCCAATCACATCAACTCCATGTAGAGGCAGATATGTTTATGATGAGCAGCCCAGATCAGTTCCTCTAAAGCCAATACTGTTCTGTCTTTGAGGAGCAGAGTGAATATAGCACCTAAATATACATATACAGCAACTCAAACAGACTTTAAAGGGCAGACATGCATTTACACATGATTTTACTATTTGAGGAGTTTAATATGTCTTGACACACACAAGTTAGTTTAGGAGTTTTCATTATTATCCTCTGCTGCTTGTATTTTAGTTGTCCAAGTGTTACATAATATGTTGTATATACTCTTACGGTATATATATATATTTGATGATTTGCAACACCAAAATAAGTAAATGCAATCCTTGCTGCTCCAAAGTTGCCATCAGCTCACAATTCGTTACCTTGCCTTACAAAGCCTAAAGAAAAGCCAGAGTAAGTTCTGGCCTAATGAGTTTATGAAGGTCCCAGTGTTTCGCAATAGAGTGATACCCACATTTTTGCACATGCTACAATTCTGAGGATTACCTTTATTCATTTTCAGTTCATGAAATATGAAGTAATAGTTTATGAGCATGTGACTAAAGGATCCTTTTAATGTCTGCCAGCTGCAGGTGTTGCCTTTTTGTATGTCCAATAACGGTCAAACTTTTGCATATATGTGCACATATTACAGTAGTAAAAGTATCTAGAATCAGGATTCTGGTTTTGCTTCAGGCATTTGTGAATGGTCTAATTATGTGCCTCCTCTATTCAGTAACCACAGAGCGTACTCTGTGCACCTTGGCATTTGCACTGTAGGAAAAAGATGCAAATTGGCGAAAATAGTTGCCAAAAATTTGTTTATTTGGAGCCACTGAATCACTGAACAGACATTAGCACTAAAAAAGTTACTTGTAATCAACAGTAATTGCTTTGTAGTGACTTTTATGCTTCTGCCAGCTTTTCATCTGCATGAAATAACAGAGCTCTCGAGGTCAAAACCTTGACATTATGGGTTTGAGAATGTGAAGTTCCAATAGTTTTTTTTGTTTTTTTTTTTGCAAAGAACTACCTCTGAAAGGAACACTATTACCTCTAAACAATGGCAAAAATGTTTCTACTGCAATGACGTTGGCCGTTAATACAAAATAAAGCTCTGAATGTGCTGTTATGTTTATATTACTATTACTTATTTGCCTACAACATACTGTCACTTTTATCTCTTACCTTATGTTGCATGCTTTTGCTGCGGAAAGCATGGCATGCTGCCTATTTGACCTTATGCACCTGAACAGAAGCTGGCACTTTTAAAGAGTATACCTTCAGCCATTAGGAGTTATGTAGCTTGTGTGAACCGTAGGAGTCACTGTGGTTTTGAGCTTTCTTTCACTCCTACATCCCATTGTTTTCATGTGAGGATAGGATTCATCGTTCTCTGATCCACTCTCTCTGAAAACTGTAGCCCACTGGGTAAAAACGGAGAGCTTCCTGCTCATGCTTTACATGAAAAGCTTACCAAGGGTGAACCACTTGAACATTTTGCTGTGAAACAGCTGCACAAAGTTTGGACTTTACATTCTTCAAAGACAATTTAGCTTTGGCATTCTCAAACCCATCAGCATCTAGGTTTAGAATTTTTGGTGTTAAGAAAGCAAATGAATAGAAACAAAAGGCAATAAGCACTGAGTCAACAGTTGTAATTGGAACAGTAACATAATTTAGCTATTTCACCTATGGAGGTTTGCTTAACTAATACAGAATGAGCTTAAGAAAGCTTTGCATCACTTTTTCAAAAGATGACTAAAGTCATTGAAGAAAAACAAACAATGAAAAACAGTATTTATTTCTTCTTTTTTTTTTTTAAATTTTCTTTTTTAAGCAAATGTTGAGTTTTGTAAATAAGCCAAAGGAACTTCACTAGTACCTATTTTAAAAACAACCAAGCACACCTGCCTTACTACCAGAGGGTCTGAGTCTAGGACTTCTGTCATTACGGTGTCTTCCACTGCAGGAGCTTGTGGGCTGTTTGAGGGCAGTGTGAACCTTTGTATATGTTCTTGCTGCAGGAACGTCCCTGTTGAACTTGTTTCAGGGCTGTTGTCAGCATAAAAATAATGCATGATTAAGATGTAGACTTCTAAATCTTTCATTGTGATTTCATACTTAACCAGACATAACTACCCTTGAACACTCTGCAGGTAATAGCTACAGAAACTTTCAGACTCTTTTTCCACCTCTGCGTGTCTTCTTTGTATCCAGGAATTACATCCATTGCATTTCTCATTTGTGAAAAAAGGATACAGTTGTTGTTGTTGTTGTTTTGTTTTATTTTTAAATTTTATTTTTTTCCTCCATTCATTATCATCTATTTTATACAATGTCAGAAACCATGGAAACAAAGATGTACTTCTTGTGGTTCCTTAGATCCTGGAACTGTTTGGTAACAAAAATGCCGTTTTCCACTGCATTTAGGGTAGCCTGAACCTTTATGTATATGTGTGTGTGTGTGTATATATATATATATATGTATGTATGTATGTATATATATGTATAACACTGGTTGGTTAAAAGAGAAAAGCAGTCTTTTCATCTCTTGTATTGCAATTGACAACATAAAACTCACCAGATAGGCTAACATAGTAAAAGCCCCACTGTTGTATGTCCTATGTGATCCTAGAACAGGAATTACATCCAGTATGTGCTATTTGTTGTTGTTTTGGTGCACTTGGACTTGACTTTCGCAGTCAAAGTTGTCAGATCCTACTCCGCATCAGAAACAGAAAGGCTTAAAAGGTCGATAAGGGGGCTGCTCCTGTAAACATTCGTGCCACCACACGCCTGCCCCGACTTCCTGCTACCTAAAGTGGCCTTTCTCAGCGATGACAGCCTCAGTGGTGCCCTTCTCGCTGATGTTGAGGACAATGTCTTGACACCAGAAATGTAATCATTGAATGTTATTGTTCTAAATGTAATTATAGATAATGAGTATATGTCAAATCAAATCTGTTTGCTATCATCTCAGCACCATGTGTATGTTTGGGAATATTTTCGCCTTATTTTTCCCTTCCCTGTCTTCTCATTCACATCCCATTCATCAGCTGTTTCTCAAATGAACCTCAGTGAGTTGATGAGAGTGGACAGCATGTACGATTCAATTGCTTTACATAGGACGTGATATGAAAAGACGGAACATTAATGCAGACAGAATGAGACTCAGCAATGAGTCACACACATCAATCATGTGATCCCCTTGTTTCTAATCATTTAGACATGGCAATTGACCAGCTAATATTGCATCTACATATATTGATCTCTCTATTCTTACAAATGAATGGAGATGTTCTCTGCAGCAGGCCCGCTGTTACAGAATAATTATCCTTTGACCATTATTTGTCTGCAGTTGTGACTGTGATGCATTCCTGCTGGCAAGACCAACAACATGGCCAACAGGCAGCACAGTCGGTCTGCTGGGGGACAAGAAAAATAGACAGAATGAAACTGAGTGATACATGGGAAAGGGAATGGAGTGAGAGGGAAGGCTACATAGGGAGACTTCATACATTGACTCGTGATTCATTACAGGACGGGATGCCAGGGGAAGGCAGTGGACTAATATAAAAGAGCTTAGGAAACTTGAGGGAGTGACACAGCAGGAGGGAGAAGAGAGATGATTTTATTAATAAAATTATCTAAAGTTATTGCACTTTGTGGTACTAGGGCAGTGTCCGGTACTATCAGTGCCATTAGTGGTGCCTGTGAGTGAGGATGTGAACATCTGTGTGTAACCCACGCTCCCACACTCACACACAGATGAACTCTGCTGGATTTTTGGTATCAACACTTTCATTTGAGCAATGGAGGATTAAAGCCAAGCAGTGCGCCCGGTTGCAGGGTAATTGCAACAAGCCTATTTTTGCATATTACTTTACCCCAACTCAGCAAACTTGGCAAGTTTGCTCCGTGTCGCTCAGTGGCTGCCACTGAAATCAAATTCACCAATAAAATGGTCACTCCCATGACATTAATCTGGCAGATTTGATCAGTACACTCAGATAATGAATACTTGTGGATTTTAATGATGTCGACTGCTTTTCAAAAAATTTGCTGTGATAAAAAGAAGGGAAAAGGGGACACACGGGAAGTCTTTTTTTCTCTCCTTTTTTTGTAGAAGACAGAATTGCTGATGAGCACAGATAATCTTAAATAGCTGTTGTTAAAGGAAGTAAAAGAGGCACAAAAAAAAAAACCCTGACATCCTTCTTCTGTTCTGTCATGTTTCTTTCTGCTCTATTTTGACAAAGGCTGTCAGAAATAAATCCATTGTGAGCGTGTATGTATGTGTATTGGGTTACGTGAGGAGCATGTGCACATGCTTTTAAATTCCTGCTTCAAAAACAGCATAGTTCAAGCATTTTGTACAGTTTCAGAGGTTTTTTTTATTTAAAAAAAATATTTTCTAAGCTCTCTGATCTTCATGCCTGTATCTGGCATAGATTCCCTTCTTCTATCTCAACGTGAACAGTGATAGCGAGCTTGTACGGTCCATGTCCAAGTGCTTCTTTGTCCAGATTAAACTCTCCAAGCCAAATGAAACAGGTGGATGCTTTTGTTTTTTTCTTGGACTCTCTTTTGTTCACTAAAATGTCCACATCTTTTTGAAGTATATCAGTTTGATTTATGATGTGCCATATTCTGTGGCTCCGATTTAGGCTGCAGCAGGTTTGGTGGACATACAACATAATCCTCACTGAGTTGAGAAATGAAGTAATCAGCCGTTGCATT